TTTCCCCCCCCCCCCCCCCAAAAAAAAATATCCGGAAAAAGAAAGTTACTAGAAGGCATCAGTTTGTGCATATGCAATTTTTGCACGCATAGTGCAATTTTTTTGGGCTTAAATTGGATTTCTATTTTGAGTTTATTCTTGTAATTTTGGATTTTCATAAAGAAAGAACCTAGTTGCAAGACAAAATTCATCACTAGTTAAAATTTCATAGGCAGCTCCATGAAGTAGGGACATTGCTAAACCACCTTAAATTCTCAATGGTCTCTCTTAAAATTGTTTTTTGCACGCATGGTGTAAATTCTCCACAAAAATCTAATAGTAGCTATCACACACATAAAAACTCATATATATAAACTTACTCTGAAACTCCATCATTCCCGGTACCCCTCTTGTCTAGGTACATGTCCTGCTCAAGATCCAAAGAAAGATAGCTTAATAAAGGCAAATAAAGACAAAGACAAACAAATAATTCAAATAAAACCACTTTATTTTCTGGTATAACATTCCATATTACAAGTACAAAGTTGGATGTGCTAACAATAATCCAGAAGTCCAAAACTCCATATGGACTCTTTAGTCTAACTCATTTAACAATCTTCAATTAATAACATCCGAACCTTAAATCATTTTCCTCTCATACACAATTTTAAACACAAGAAAGTTAGCCGCTACTGTAGTTGTACGCATAAACAAACATATTCTCAGAAATTAAAATGCGGTCTGCAACTTTCAACAGGCTTATTTCTTTTCATTTTAGAGCAAAACAAGTCAGAAACATCAGCAACTGCTTCTCTCTAAACCTGATCTTACTTCACTTATATGTTAATTTTTTTCTTCAGAAGTAAGAAAAAACTATCATCCCAAGGCAGCAAGGGGTCAACTGAAGCATGATTCTTTTGCTGAAATTAAACCATAAATACTTTATGTTCAGTATGCCTACTTAATCACTGATAAGTTCCTGCTAAAAGAAAAATTTAACATGCCATCCTTTCAATTAACACAAAATTTCCATATGTGGTGATTGAATCCAATCAGAATTCAAGGATGCAAACTCTTAGGAAGCCATCAAGTCATCTACCAGACATTGTAAAAGTGATTTGTTGTTCACGAATAGAAACTAACAAGATCAAGCCAATATTTTGCATCAAAAGGCCAGACTAAGATTAGCTTCCCTAAAGAAAAATGAAATTGCAGCAAACACTTGCAGTTTTTGCATTGAAATTAAATTGCAACATTAGCAACCAAATTTCTGGAGAATAGATGTTTGTTTAATTGCAGTTTCCTAGTTTATATCCTCATCACAGAAAATGTAATGTTATACATCATATACATAATTATATATATATATATATATCTACTCAATAAAGGCAGGATTATGTGCTAATACATCCAGCATTTGCTAAAGTAACAAATTCTCACAGTAGGGAGAAACAACAAAAGATGACCAACATATATATACATTTCATATCCATCATTTCTACAAATAGTTTGTCATTTTGGTACACAACAAAGCTTCATTAACAGCATGGAAAGAGACAGCTATCTTTGGATCTTGAATGCAAAAGAAATCAAATCTCCATGTTTGATTGTATTTCAATCCTTATTATTTTCAATTCTTATAACATTATTAGTTTCACTTAGGCTTTCAGTTTGGACAGCTGGATTTAAAATATTCCACATGTTGTGATGAGGAGATTTATTTCCTCTCACATATCCACTTGAAGGTGTGCATCATGATAAAGAAGTTTTAGTTCCTCACTCTATCAAATGAGTAAATAAATACATATTTCAATGGTCCTTCATGTTCAAGTTTCTAATCCATAATTTCCTAAAAATAGTTCACGTGCAACAACATGAAGAAAATTACCTCTTCAAGGTCCAAACCAATTTGAGAAGTGTCACCATCACCAAACCGCTCTGAAAAGAAATAGGAAAATACAGGCAGTGTATTTACTTGATCTGTAAAATATATGAACGGAAAAAAATAGTAAAAGGCATGCAGGAGCATCAACTAACCATCCAACCCAAATTGTGATGTAGAGTAGACCACACCATCCATTGTGTCTTGCAAGGTAATCTGCTCCCTTGTACTGATATGACGATCGACATAGTTCCTATAAAAAAATTAAATACTAAAAAGTGATCAACTAGTTGTATTTACAACATTATCAGAAGATAATCTTCCATGTGCTACAGATCTAATATGCAACCAAAATACCCATTAGCAGCCTTAACCACCAGTAAGTTTATGTACTTTCAAGCAAAAAGGTTCACAGTGTACTACAACACACTCTATACCAACATTATCTCAAAGAAAAGCGCACTATATACCATTACAGTTATATTCCGTGTCACCAAATCAACCCCAAAAGATTATCACACGATGATTACTCTCCTGTTCAAACACTTCATGAAACACCCAGAAGAAAGAGCATGAGATAATGAAAACTTTGGAACTCACCCCTGGAATATTTCATTTTCTGGTAGCTCAAAATCATCAAGGTCAAATGTCTCCGGTAAGGTGATCGAGTGATACGGAGCAGTAGATTCTTCTGGCGGTAAATCAACTGCAGTGGAGCGAAAAGCTTGCTTTATCTTAAGCAAAGCCTCACTGCAATCATCGAAAAGGTAATTCACCTTTCTAGAATATATCCTCACCACACCAAGCAGAAGATGGCTGGACAATCGCAATGCAATTGGTATTTCGGGAAAGAGTATGGAATCTGTCCATAAAATACCATATGAATCATAAACATTGAAACACGAGGAAAGGCAAATTTTGGAGGAAATCCTCAATTCAGTTCTCTATACTAGTTGGAAGAAGTGTAGCAGATGCAGATCTCAAATTCAAAACTTGGCCTTCTTTTGCTTGGAAATCAAACACATGACTCAAGGCAAAGTAAAAGGGGAAAAACTAACCTACAGATACACCAATATCAGTATCTGCAACTTGATTCTTTCGAAGCTTCCTCTCCAAGTGCGCTGCTATCCATATCGTTCCCAATGGCCCCTTCTTGGCCAATATAAACTGTGAATAAAACATTACTCTCCCAAAACCAAGACTCTAGTTTTCATACAACAAAAACTCACCTTTATTTTTTATTTCCAAAAAGAACCAACACTATCCTGTAAAACCATACGACTAAACTTCTTAAAAGAAAAAAATTCCCAATTTCACAAAAACAGCTAAACCCAAGATTCAGCTAAGGTCATTCACCTGAAATTGACTTCCCAAATCATCAAAGTCAAACTAACAGGCATCAAATTGAACAATTGCATAAAATAAACCAACAAAACCCTAACCCGTTGACAAGCTGTTCTCTCGTAACCACGTTCCAAAACCACAAATTCTCACATCTAATTCCAGCGACTAATAAATAAACTCCAGAAAACCCCCAAATCAGACCACAAAATTAGAAACCCTAGCCACTCTTCAGCTACTGCACCACTTTCCGCAAGACACACGAAGCAGAAAAGGCCCCATTTCCACAAAATTCATAGTTTTCACATTCAAGCCAGTCGAAAACCGAAGCCTGGAGCAGTACAGGGATCGAGCCGCATAAACACTGCGTGAGACTAGACGAGAACTTTACGACGAAACGAAAACTAAACTACAGGAACAAACCCTCTACTGAGTCAAGCGGATCTTGAGTTGAGATCGCGTTTGCGCAGGGCTGAATCAGAGATCGAAAACAGCTGACGCAATTAGGAAAGAAGATAAATAGAAAATCGAGAGAGAGAGAGAGAGAGAGAAGCAAGGCTGCCGGAAAATTTCGAACTCTTCGATTTACTTAACTTTGTTAAGGTGTTGGTAAGGTCCACGGGATGTTTTCAAAGTGGCTCTGTTTGATTGGGTTTTCGAAGGTAAAGTTGGGTCCCACGCTGAGATTTGTCAACAGTTTTAGTTCAGAGTTTCAAATTTTTATGCCTCTTTTACGTGGGAACATTATTCTGACATTTTTGTTTTTTGGATTTTATTACTATTCATTAATTAATCTTCTTTAGTTTAGTTATTCGCCAATCTTCCCAGGCAAGTTTTTGCGTGCATCTTTTTTAAATTATATATATTAACGTGACAGGATAATTAGAGAATTCGCATTAATATATATATATATTTTAGTCGCATTATCTGAAATTTAAGTATGGTCATATTTGAAACAAAGCAATAATTTTAATGAAATTTATTTAAAAAATTATAATATAAACATTTGGGAGTGTCTATGGCAATCCATAATTGGGTATGGACAATACTTTTTAAAGCTTTTTTCATGAATATTAACATAAATGTTTCTCATTAAAATTTTTAATTTCTCTTTTATGAAAGTAGATTTTAGAATAATTAAGATATGTTATTATTTTTATTTCCTATATATTATTTGAAAAATTATTTACAACAAAATAGATGTCCTTAATAATATAGGTTCCAAAAAAAATTTATTCATTATTTGAATGATATTTGTCTTTACACATTTCAAAACATGATTTAAATTAAAAGCAACTAGAAGATAAATATTGCCTTTTGAAGTTATTTGACAACAAACATTCAATATCTTGAACTTTATCAACAATAACTCTCTTCATTCCTCAAATGTTAGATAGTATTTTATTTTCTTTTAGCAAATAACTTTTGAGAAAAAACAAAAGTACACATTTTTTAAATGATATATAAAGTAATAGATATAGAGTCACTACAAAAAAATGACCAATAGTAACAGAAAGAAACCGTTACTATAAGTTGAATTTCCGTTAGTGTAGAGAAAAATGATATTGCAGGAGCGAAGAACATTGATGTCACAAAATAAGAGAAAAATAATGTTGCAAGAGAAAAGAAAAATGATGTTGCGTGAGGAAATAGAGATGATATCGTGGGAGAAAACAAAAATGATGACCCCTTGATAGGGGAAAGATAACCGATTCTATCTAACCCTAACATTTCTTTGTCTAGTAGTGTTGTTTCTCCCTTACATGATTCTAAAGATATTTTTCCAAAAAACTTCACAAATAAACAAAAGGAAGTAGATTTGGTTAATCAACTACATGAGAAGTTCCCAATTTGAAGATGGATCATTTTGAAAAATGAGAGTATGATATGAATCCAAGTAGCACAAATCAAACAAGGCCACATGAAATCCCACTACTAAAATATAACTCAAACTCGCATGGAAGACCATGTGGGAGCTCATGGCAATATAAGATCACATGGGAACTCACGGCAACATAGGAGCTTACATGAGCTTGGAAGCTTACGGCCACAAAGTAAACCATGGCTTCATGTGCTTAATGGGGCACAAATTTAGGTCTTATAAATGAGAAAAGCCACAGCAAGGTTCAGTCAAATAAAGATCAAGGTGGAAAAGTCCATGTAAGGAAAGATCCCCATGGCTTAGTCCATCTAGATGAAAATAAATGTCCAACTCAACAAGAGCCAAGTCCATATGAAGAAAAGCGTATGATGAATGCACCTCAAGATACACTTGGCCATATGGATGGGGTATCATTATA